CTGCAGAGGATGGACATCAGGCCGAACCACACCATCTACATCAACAACATCAACGACAAGATTAAGAAAGAAGGTATCAGAGTCGCGCGTTCTCTTGGCAGTTTGGCAGTGCCGTGTTTTCAGAGGTTGCCGGGGCTCTCTGAAGTGCCCTGCTGGGGGTGGTGGCTCTGAGGAGTTGGCTACTCGTCATGAATCAGCAGCTAAAGTAGAAAACAGAGCAACAGAAAAAATAGAGCACTACCTTAAATAGAAAATGAAGCCGGTGAGGGGTCTAGAGAACATGTCTTACCAGCAAGGGAGCTGAGAGTGTTTAGTCTGGAGAAGAGGAGGCTCAGAGGAGACCTCATTGCTCTCTACAGCTGCCTGAAAGGAGATTGTAGAGAGTTTGGGGTTGGTCTCTTCTCCCAGGTAACAATTAATAGGACAAGGAATGGCATCAAGTTGCACCAGGGGAGGTGTAGATTAAATATCAGGAAAAATTTCTTTACTGAAAGAGCGGTGAGGTATTGGAACAGGCTACCCAGGGAGGCGATGGAGTCACCGTGGCTGGAGGTGTTCAAAAAACGTGTAGGCATGGTTTAGCGGCGATGGTAGTGTTAGGTAAATAGTTGGACTAGATGATCTTAGAGATCTTTTCCAACCTTAACGATTTTATGAATCTATGAAAACAATTTTTAATTATTTTTGTAAGATAGGAAGCTCCTGATTGCCTCTGTTATATTTCTGTAGTTAACTGCATGGATTAGGTTAGTTTGCCGGTGACTAACTGATGATAGGAGACCTGAGAATATCTGATGGATGCTTAGCAGGCATGTTGGCATACCTGGGTCAGCAGTCCCCTCTGCTGAATGTGGGGGAAATCTGTGTGCTCCTCCTTGGTTTTAGCACCGCGCAGAAGCGGTAAGCATGGCATGAGCTAGCCTGCTTTGCGTCGTCGTGTTAGAGACACTGCCTTGTGACTACTACAGCCCGCTCTACAGAGACATGACTTTGTGCTGAGGAATTTTAGCTCCTCCAAGTGTGCTAAAAAAAAAAATCTCTTGCCCTTACCTAGCTGTATATGCAATGTCTGCATGGAACCATGCACTTAATACTTACGTTTAGCTTTTAATCTAAAGTGATCAAGGTAATTTATTTGTTATTTTTTGTGAACTAAGTGGCTAGATCAGACTAGCGCTGCATAAATGTTTCTTTAGGGTGCTTCAGAAAGACATCTGAAAGTGAAAACAAGTTTGCTGAGAAGTTGCAGATTAACTTGTCAGGATGGTTCTCCTGAATAAATTTAACTTGAAGCTTTGTTTCTAGAATGTTAAGTGCCCTATAAACTAGTAAGTCTCCATTACGAAATTGCGGTTTTAATTTTTCAGTGTAGGGTTTCAAATTCCCTGTAAAGCATGTAAATGTGTTTTAATTTTTTAATATAGTTATTGATGTTATTTTTAAGAAAAGCATTTTCAATATTTTTATAAAAAAATAAATACAGCACTGCATTTGGTCAAGAGCAGCTGGAGGGAGTGCCAGTGGGCTGGTATCAACAGCAATAAACAAGAGATAGTGCTCATGTTGCTGAAATATTTTGAATGTGAGACTTGTGAGTTAGAATGTTTATACAATACAAAGGATTTATTTAGCTTGATTGGATAAGATTAAGGTTTAATTTGGCATGTAGTCAGGTGATTTTTTAATCATGAAAATGGATCCATTGCAGCTGTAAGGTACAGTGTGATCATACAAAAACATATTTGGATCTAGAATATGAAAAAATATTTCGTGTGTGTGAGAGCTGATGAAACGGTTACAAACAAAATTTCCAAATTTAATTAGCCCTCAAGTAGTTACTGATTTTCCATGTTCTTGATTTGTCATAACCTCTTTACTATTGCAGGTTACAGTATTGATTTCCTGATGGGTCTTTGGCTGTTATACATCATACTTGAATGTGTGAGAATGTAGATGTGTGTATATATATATATGAAAAAATGTCTTTACATACTGTTGTGTAGTTTTTGCTCTCTTAGAAGGGCAGAATGGATAGCAGCACAACTTTTTCACTAGCTGGATACTCGAGATGTGAAACCAAAAGTTATACGCCAACTTACAAAAACTGGACAAATAAACTTATACTCGTGCAACAGGTTTGATTAACCTCATGTAACGTATCGCTGTGAGAGCTAAAGGTGGCAAAAAAACGTTGTCCCTGAAGGACAGCACACTGCAGAAATGAACTTTTGCATGTAACCTGTTACAATCTTTTTTTTTTTTCTATCGTCAACAGAACTGAAGAGGTCCCTGTATGCGTTATTCTCGCAGTTTGGTCATGTGGTCGACATTGTGGCTTTAAAGACTATGAAGATGAGAGGACAGGCTTTTGTTATATTTAAAGAACTGGGATCATCGACCAATGCTTTGAGACAACTACAAGGCTTTCCCTTTTATGGGAAACCAATGGTAGGTTATTTCGTTAGCTTTTTAAAGAAAAAAAAATTGGTGTGATACAGTGTTTTGGTACTTGCACCTTATGATTTAACTGTCGTGTACTTTTAATTTTACGATTGTTCAGTCATGTCACGTCGTGATGAATGGATGTAGAAGCTAGAGAGGTGTTGGAGGGACCGTAGTTAAAACACATGCAGAAGTTAAACTTAGCATTTAGGTTTCCTAAGTGTTTTTCTGTGCTGGATTAAATTTTTTAAGATCTTAAATATTTCCATTTTACTCATCATGTCTTCTCTTGAACTGATTAATTCTGTAATGTTACTGAAATTAGGTGCTTTCAGTTAATATATCTAGAGTAACCTTAATTACTATAGAAATGGCTAGCGTTTAATGCTTCAGTTCTGAGTTGACAGTGAGTAGCTTGAAGATCTCTGCCGTTTTACTTTCCAGAAATCAGCAGATCTGACCGGTGATTTATTTTTTAAATCGGTGGCTAATTTGGCTTGTGCATCCATCATCAGATGACCAAACCAAATAACTGAATTTCAGTATAACTTCAGTGAAGCAGATGCACTGCTGGTTGATAGACTGTGATTTAATCACGTATGTGATCAGGTGCCAAACGGCACAATTTTCCCCTTTTTACCCGCTTGGATAATTCAGCATAATTCTGCAACTGATTGTGTGTAAGGGTGTAACGATCCACCTTCAGTGAAGGATGGATTTATTAATGCTGTCTTTCAGCTCATGGCTTTGAACATTACGAAGAGCACTGACAGTTGTGTTGCTGAGCCACGAGCTTTTTTTCATCAACACTTTCTCTAATGAAATCCCTAACAAGGAATTGTGCAAGCTCAGTTCTGTTGTTTACCCTTAAAGAGTTCTGTGCTCGGTAAAACTCAATAGGAAATAAAAAGATTAAGGCTTCATAAGCTTTCAGGTGTATTTCCCTCTTTGAATATTGCCTGCAGCATGCATACTCATATCCAAGCACCAAACAAAACCAATAAAACAAATACCTTCTGACTGCTCTGTGACTTTTTTGTATTGAGATGATCTATGATAGGATTTTGTGCAATTATAATGTTGCACACGTGTGTACTCGTGCCGTTGTGCTGCTGACAGGGTTTGTGCAATCCCATGTGGATTGAGGCAGTGCTTGCCTTTCCCTTGACGAAGTCTTGAGTTTTGCTGAGCTGTCCTGGTTTGAGCTAAGACAAATCAATTCAGTTCAGTGATTTTACTTTTCAGCTGAGTCTCTTCTAAGAGACTGCATGTTCCAAAGTTAACAGCATGTTTCTGCAGACAGCGCCTGCTTCTAGAAGTGATAATGTTTATAACGGTTATAGTTACTAGCGAGGACTGGTGTGCAGAAAGGCTCTTGCTTATACTTACTCCTGGAGTAACCAAGGTCGCTGTCAAATCTTAAGGGTGGCAGGAAGTAAAAGGATCAAAAGGAATTAAAAAGATCGTTCCCTCTCATTTTTTTTAATAGAAGCTAGTGCCAGTTTTGTCAGACGTCCCTCTATCTCTTTGTACGTTACCTTGGCAGATGTTAAAAAGATGCTGTTAGATTAAAATTAGTTAAAATTAGAGTTAAAATTAGTAACTACGATGCTAGGGTTTTTTTTTTCTTGGAGTTCCATAGTTGTGTTCAGAATTCATTACGAGGATTAGATACTCTGTAAACATACCTATGGTTTATAATATTTTTAATGTAAGAAACTCTAGCAAAAATGTGTAAATGCTCAGTAGGAAACGGTTAATGAAAGTGGTGCAAAATATTCAGTATCGTTAACTATAAAATGTACTGTGTTGCTTGGGTTTTTTTCTCTTTTAAAAAGCGTATCCAGTATGCAAAAACAGATTCGGATATCATCTCTAAAATGCGTGGCACGTTTGCCGATAAGGAAAAGAGGAAGGAAAAGAAGAAGGCCAAATCTCTAGAGCAGTCAGCAAATGCAGCGAACAAAAAGGTTATCCCGGTAAGCTTCTTTCCTAGTTAAAAAAGAAAAAAAAACGCTTAAGAAGTACTCTGATTTTTAATTTTTTTTAGGACTAAGTATTGTCTTTTAGTACTTATCAATTCCCTAAATAGTTGTCTGTTGATATCTACTGCTCCTCAGCGCTCACTAGAAGTTGAAGATGAGGGGTCTGATCATACAGTGCTTGCTGTTCTCTTTTTTTCTCTCCTTTCCTATCACCAGATGAAAATAAAGATGTAGGACAAAGGTACAATATACCAAAGTAGAAATTATAAGAAAATAAAGGAGAAGCGTGTGCTTATGCCAGCTTCAAGTGCTGCACCAGCTTTTCCCTTTGGTGTTTTAATGCCATATTTGCTTTATAAGCACTGAAGAATGGTAAATGGGAACAAGATAATTAATTTAGTTAGATGAAAAGGAGTTGGCGGAGAATGTATCTCCACTAATGGTTGGCCTGACCTAAACTAACAACCTGTAGTAATTTATGTGCTGAAGTAGGGCAGAAAACGTGAAGGTCTAGAGTTTGAATATTGTCTTAACTACACTTACTGCCAAGGCACAAATTGGTAGAACAGAAAGCAACATTTTCTAGGTTAGGTATTCAGACTTCTTATGATCTCTTGAAACAACCCAGTTGTTATCTACAAGTCCCTTCAGAAATAATTGCTACTGTCTATAACGGTAATAGCTTTAGTTATCCTTGTGAAACTGGAGTCCTCAGTGGAAACGTCTGTTTTTCTCCTCTTAAGTCTGACCTGTGTAGGCCTTCATTTTCAAAACTACTTGTGTCTATTAAACCAAATTTTATGATATAGAGAAATAGTGATTTGATGTATCTGCTGACTTGGCCATTAGTCAGACCAGATACTGCTGATGTTTTTATTCTTTGATGCCTGGTTTTGGAGTTCAGCAAAATTCACATGCTTTATGTTTCCCTTTGGGAAGTATCTCATAAGCAGCAAATGTTCCTTGGACTGTAGCTTTAAAAATAATCCTTAATATACTTCTTGAGTTGTACAGAAACGTGGTGATGTGTGCTTATATATTTCCTACAGAATGCTTTTGTAAAACTGTTTTGTTCTTATTTATTAGGGAGCAACACAGAATTCAGCCACTGCCCCAGGGACCGCAACACAGAATCAGCAGGTAATGCTTTTTTTTTTTTTGGTGACTAAAAGCACCAAGGTTTAAAAACACTCTCTATGAATAATAGTTTGTTACACTTGGCAACTTGAGGATACATTTTGCAGCTTCCTTCTGCAAGACATTTGTCCGACAGCTAAATCACAGTAAACAAATGAAATCCCACGTTTACTGTATCTGGTTGACATGAAACTCTGCAGTTTCTCATGGTTATACAGAAAACAGCACTATTAACAAATCCTACTTGATTCTTAAGTTTGGACTGTCTTTATTACCAGTTGAAGGATTTTTTTTTTTTCACAATTGTTAATAAATTCCCTTTAACTTACTTTGTTTGGTAGTAGAAAATGGCAAAGACAACTACAGAGGGTGCCAGAATAACTACTTAAAAAGCTTCCTTTCAGGAGTCTGGGGTTCCGCTGGTCACTTTTTTTTAATTTCTCGTGTCTTATTTTCCAAAGGGTTGTGTGGAGATACAGCAACAACTCCCTGTGCTTCACGCTGCTCAGTGACCTAAATGATTCATATGTGTAGAAGTGGATGTACAAAAAGAGCCAGGATTTGCAGGAGGGCAAATACTCTAGAATATTTTAGCCTACCCTGCGTCTCTTTCTTGAGTGCTGTTGAGAACTGCATACATAATCTACAGGGGAAAATTTCTTGCTCCCAGTCTGGGTTTTCTTTTGAGTATCCTTTGTTACAAAGCACAATATGTGCGTGTCAGTTTTGCATCAAAGCCCGGCACTGGGTAATTGTATCTGAACTTTGGAAGTTTATTTTCTAATTACACTGCCTGGAATGTTTCCCTTAGCCAAAAGAAATTGCTCTTCTGAGGTATTAACTTACTTGGGACCGTTATTAGGACATTTAAAGTTGGGGCATCCAGTTTCTTTTTATTTTTTAAATTTCCTTGATGACTTGGGGAGATTCCAGCCTTCCAGGCCACTTCCTGCGAACTGACTACTCAGCTTTGTGTCTGGTGCGTTACTACAGATTCATAATCAGCAGGCAAATCTGTTAAATACTCTGAAGCTTTAAGTCTAGTGGGGTTTTGAATTAATAAATCTGAGTAGAGCACCACAGTAAACCCATGTGGGTTTTGTACGTTTCAGTTGCCCAAAGATACTCAATATTTCGGTACTACTGGAGAGGAACGGGGTGTTTATCTTCGCCCCCCACTGCACTTACAGAAGACTGCAAGCCTTACCTAGGTTCTTCCACTGCCAGTATCTTGAGTTATTGAGTTTAGATATGATGTTAAGACAATGCTGAGATTTTTGTGGAAATAAAAGCCTCTCCAAATTCATACCTGCTTGTAAAAGAGCCAAGGGGCTGCCTGTTGTGTGAAGGTGTACTTCAGGTGTGAAGTCTAGCTAGCAGTGTTATGAGCAAAACTAAGGATACGTGAGTCCGATTCAAAAATCGTGCAGACAGATACAGAGAAAGAGAGAGCTGTGTATAATCTTCTGAGCTTTGCTCTTCTGTTGTTGCAGGTGCCTGATAACCCACCGAACTATATCCTTTTCCTTAATAACTTGCCTGAGGAAACGAATGAGATGATGCTGTCCATGTTATTCAATCAGTAAGTTTTGAATAAAAAGGACTTCATCTTTGAACTCTTCTGTTACCTGTATGCTTTTTCTCAGTGGGCAGGCTGACTTTTTAAAAATAAGAGTTTCTGCTGAAGGCGTTTCAGTTCTTTGTCTTACTGCCGAGATTACAGATATCAGTTCTGATGATTTGGTGCAGAAAGCAAATCCGATTTTTTTTTGTAGCTGGTTTTGATTGTCTAAATTATCTACTATCAATCTGCACCGGAATTAAGCTGCTGACTGCAATAATGAAAGACTTTACGACAGCAGGAGCAGTTTTAAAAGTAGCTTTAGTTGCTTCTGTATGTGCATGAGACCAATTAAATTGCTTCCACAGAATGATCCTTAATTGAGATAAGATTCCAGAGACTGGACATATAAAGCCCTTTGTTTTAAATCCTTCATTAATAGTAACTGTTATGCTGGTAGATGCTCATGCTAAGGCCTTACAGCTACTGAAGAGAGGTATTATCAAACTAGGAAATATGATCTGACTCTTCCACCTTGTTTTCAAGGTTTCCTGGATTCAAAGAAGTGCGCTTAGTGCCTGGGCGCCACGACATCGCGTTCGTGGAGTTTGAAAATGAGAATCAAGCAGGAGCTGCTCGAGATGCTCTCCAAGGATTCAAGATTACTCCATCTCATGCCATGAAAATCACTTACGCGAAGAAATAACCAGACTCTCCTGTAAAGGACTTCTGTGGATAGTCGTTATTTTAATACAACGATACTTTCATCAGAGCTAGTGTGTTTGCTGTTCTCTGCAGAAAAATTAAGGACTGGTGTAAAACTGCCACAGCAGCCAGGACAGATGTAGGATTTCCACGGATCTACTGGATAGTAAACTTTTGTGTTGAATACTAAATTTTTATCAAATAAATTCAGTTTGTACTGTTTTCAAGCCATGTTTTTCCTCAAATATGTGTTACAATCTGTTAGGCTTGCAGGGCTTATTCAGTATACTGGTCTTAGCAGTGATTTCAGTAAATGGTTGAGGACAAGCATTCTGGCTCTTTATGAGCACAATGCAGATGAGCCTGATGATCTGGTTTTTATTTTTTTTTTCCAAAATACGTGTCTTAATTCTTTTGGGTTTGTTGTTTGGGTTTTGTCAGGTGGGTGGTTTTTTTTTTTCCATTTGTCAAAAACATCTACAGGTCTTGTGTGACATAAAATAGGCTGAATGCACTGAAGTAATCAGATACAATATTGTGAGTTGTAACTCTTCTAAATATTCGGGTGTAAAAATCACCTCAAAAGCTCAAGTGTTTTGTTCAGGTGCTGGAAGACTTAGAAGAATATTTTAGGTTAAGGAAGCAATGAAATTTACTTAATACGTGACAACATTTTTGATGTATCTTGCTGTTTTGCCTGGGAGGATTGCAGCCAGGCCTTTGAAGATTAATGTTTGAGAGGAAATGATATCACAGTGTTTGTCTTATTCCTCACTTCTTGAACGCTTTCCCTGTGAGGCCACCAGCTGACCTTTATGACAGGAATAATGGGATGGTGTTAGCATGATTTCCTTTAGAAATAATCAGGCAAGTATTAAGGTAACTGATATTTAGGCAAGCAGCTATGGCGAAGAATGTTTTGCATTGTAGCTAGATTGCAAATGTTGAGCCTTTTTCTGTTTCCCAAGTAGTTTGGTCAATGGGGGTGGGAGGAAGGATGCTGGAGGCTGTAGCCTTTCCTCTGTTACTTGTATTGCCTGGGCTTGACTGTAGCTGCAAGCAGCTGTTTCTCCAGCTTGTGTTCTGGTGCAATTGAGGTCTGACTTACAACTGTTCTTTGGATAGAGTGCTTAACCTTCAAGGAGGTATGATTGCTTTCTATAAAATTGTGGTATACTTCGTAGTTCTGGTATGTCAGCTCAATTTCTGAATGAGTGCTACGTTATCTGTAAGCATAAAATGAGCTACATAAACCACCGGTTTTGCACGAGACCTGAAAAGTCTTTCATCTTCTGCTCCCAGACAATACGATGCTCCTTCCAGTGTCATTTTGATAACTGTCCTGTCTCCAGACATCTATTTTTTTCATTCTTTTTAGTGTTTTTTTTTTTATGATTGCACAAGTATTCTAATACTTCCAAGTAAAAATCATCTCCATGTGCCTGTAAGGGAGTAAAAGCGACTGTTATTCCATAATGAACCTTACGTTTTCCCTTCTGCGATCATGGTTTCATAGCTGTTAACTATGAAACCCATCAGTCTGCGTACATGAGGCCACCGCTGCATCTTTATTCACTTGGAGGAGTTGGTGTGGAGCTGTGCCTGAAGGAAGGGCGTTGGATGTTGCATGCAGGAGGCCGAAAGATTGGAGGAGAATGGTGAAGTCAGCTGCAGTAGGAGGATGATGCTAGAAATTGCAAGATGCTCTTTCTTTAAAAGAGAGCGCGGGATTTTTGATGACAGTTGATGGCTTCCTCTGCTCTGCTTGCAGACAGAGCTGGGGCAGCCGGCAGCTTTTCAGGCCTCCTTGTGAATCGAGAAGCCCTATTTCTCTGGTAGGCTGTTTTGGGAATTCCCAAACTCGCTCTAGGTCACTTTTGGGGGTTGATCCAGACCGGCCTTCTGACAGTGGTGATGTGAATCGCTTCTGGTGCCGTAGCTGTGGTGGTGATTCCCTTTGGGCCTATGTGCCCATCTCTTTTAATTAAAATACTTGATAAAAGTCTTTTCCTCATTTATGCTATGACAAGATTCTGGGAAGTTAAATGAATTCTAGAAGTCCTGTGCGAGGCGTAAAGAGGACCTTTGGAGTCAGCCTGTAGCTCTGAATGTTGTTCAGCATCTGCAAACTCCCACCTGAGCTCAGCCATGTAAATAAAAGTGAAAAGGTCGCTGTCCTGGTGTAACCTGTGTTTTCCTCTTGACTGCATGTCCCTCAAGAAGGGATCTTGCCTACACAAGTAAGCTATGCTAGAACCTTTTAGACTTCACGTTTAAATTGCTCACCTGCAAAGATTTTTACTGGGTTTCAACTCCCTAATGCGTTATTTACATTTGTGTCCATGTGTTAGTAGGTCCTTTCTCTACTGGGAATCTGCCACTGAGGGTTTATGGTCCAGTGAAGATTACACTTGTTAGTAAGCATTTGTGAAAATCAAGAACTTGAGGATTTGGAAGGATGTAATTTCCTTTGCTGCTTACCAGGGTCTGGCTTAATTTTCCTTCTCAAACTTTGCTTGAGGTAAGATTAAGACTACGGACAACTACAGGAAGGCTTAAAATGTTTAATGCGGTTGCTGATTGAAATGTTAATGCAAAATGGATTCGGGAAGGGATTTCGTTTTGTGAGCGGACCCTGAGGTCTTCCCGCCTGCGGCTCCTCTCGTGGGGTGGAATGTTGCCCTGACCCCTTCCCATTGGTCCGGCTTGTTTGTCCAGATGTCTGCCTCTTCCATAAAAGATGGGGATTGCTGGACCCAGCACGCATTCGGCAGGCGCTGTAGCAAAAAAAATGACACAACATGTTTATTTGGTTGTTTTACTTTTGTCTCTCGGATTGACGCATCCTCTTGTAACTGGAATTTTTATGGACAAGCTTGCCAGCAAGAAGCTGTGTGCTGATGATGACTGTGTCTGTAAGTAATTTTCCTTCAATTTTGAGGACAAAAGAGCCTTAGAAATGACTGCAGAGTTTGGATGTGGTAGTCTGAGGGAAAACTACTCGGCTTACTTAGCTCTGTTCTATTTGCATTGGTTTGTCAGCTTTAAAAGCAGCCTGGGAGGGTTTCTGTGCAATGTCACGTAAGGGGCTTTTCTAAAGGACATTTTTCACTCAAGTGAAAGGTGAGTGTAGAGAGAAGGATTCTAACTTCCCCTACAACGAAATGGCACGATCTTACTTTGCTTATTGGAGAACAGAAAAACGAGAACAAGAAATTTTTGACGGCTTCTATTAATTTCAGGATAACCCACTTCTACATGTGTGCATACGAACGCACACATATTTATATTTTTATCTCTAAAAGTATATATGCATTAAAATTTGTCCACCTCATTCTTTTTTCTTTTTTTTCCTAGACACAATTTCCCTTGCCAGAGCAGAAGAGGATTATAATGCTTCAGACTGCAGATTCATTAATATTAAAAAAGGGCAGTTGATTTATGTTTACTCAAAACTTGTGAAAGAAAAAGACTCTGGAGAATTCTGGGCTGGAAGTGTAAGAGGAGATTCTTGTGTGTATGAGAAAACCAGAAGTAGATTAACATGCATTTCGGTCAAGAAATGGATGCTAATGCTGAGCTTGCGTCAGTTTTAAAGCAGCAACTTAGTTTTCAAAGTGAATGTTTAAACTTAAACTGATTGAGAAATCTCGAGGGTTTTAATTTAATATTGTTTTTAATGAAATATCTTCAATAACTGTATGGTAATTTGGAACTGAACCTTAACAGAAGGGCTCAATGGTTCTTTCTGTGGCTGTTTGTTTAAACTACGGAGGAGAAGGTTTTTATCACAGTTGGTCATAGAATTCTTAAATTTAAGGAAAGAGAAGAGAAGTGTTAGCTGCATTTAAAAAAATAAATAAAATAAGATAAACCACAGGCAGGATTAATTTACTCCAAAAAAAATTGAATGCCTGTGTCAGAACTTGTGTTAATGGTTCGTTTCGCGTGCCTGCTAATTGGAAACTAGAAAATCTGAAACCAGAGTCGGAAACACTGTTAGTAACTGCTCTTGACTGAATTATGAACTAGCTTGCGCCAGATGAGGACTGTTGTAAGGTGCCTAATTACATGTCTCCTTGCTTGAAGGTTTATGGAGAACAGTATGAAGACCATATGGGGACAGTTGGTTATTTCCCTAGCAGTTTAGTCTCAGAACAACATGTCTATCAAGAAGCAAATAAGACTGTTCCTACGACGGTAAGGAATTTGCAAAAGCCCAGCTGGCTACGTAATTATACTTGGCCGTGTAATACTAATTTGCTGTAAAAACAAATCATGGTTGTGGCAGTTGATTGTAGCATATCACAGATGCTTAGGGATCCCATCTTTGGGTCTTTATACAGGCAAATAGCCTCAGTAATATCCCTAACATAAGCTCTCTGATATTGCAGGCATTGCAAATGCTGCATTAAGAGCTTCATCCTATTAGAGTTCCCCTTGATTTGAATAGTATTCCTTCAAGGCCGTGTAAGTTTTACCCAAAGCTTTCTCTTTTAGTGTCTGGCTATTGTGCTGCACACTTCAGTAATGTGGGCAAGTGTGCTTTCTTTTAACTGTGCATATGTAGATCATACAGAACTGCTGGTTTATCGAAAGCATGCTTGTTCTCTCATGGCTCTCTCAAGTTATTGGTTCATTAAAAAAAGCTGGATTTAAAAGCTTCTGGAACCATGTTAGTGTTTTACAATGTGTAATTTTACTGAAAATCTGAACGCTTCACAGAGGAGTGGAAGAAGAGGGCTCTTTCTCAGAGGCTGGTGTGGTTTGGCTTACAAAAAATGCTTACTGGTAGCTTGTTTCTATGCTTAAAAACAAATTGGGTGGTAACTTCACAGTAATTGCCTTCATCAATACTGAATATTTAGCTATATGCTGTTTTGAAGCGTATGGCAAAATGTGATTAGTGTGGCAATCTTGGAATCACATCTGGAGTCTTCAGTCTTAGATCCAGATTTTTAGATGGGTTTCATTAACACAGAGGAAATAAGTGAAAGGAAGAATTTTGTTTCATGTTAATAGTTGCTAGGATTTGCGTTATAATGTGTCAGACAAGCTTGATTTGAGGAAACCTGAATCTCGGATAAGTGGTTGCTTTTCTTGACGCT